TATTTAAATAGGTGAACAGTGAAGTGTATGACAAAAAACGTGTAATGATCTAATTAAAACTATAATAAATCCATACGAAAAGAGTTGGTCGCAACTAAATTAAGATCCGATTATTACGAATTGCTAGTAGTTTCTAGCTTTGCTTTGTAATGACGTATTACTTCAAAGCTGACAGGCGAGCTCAACGTTTCTTGCCTCACGTCATTGAATCCGATTGCAACTATCTTCAGAATCAATTATGCAAAGCTATACAGGATCTCTTACGTCCTCTAACTGCGAAACATAAACCTACCCTTGCGACTCGATTCCAGAATCGGTTGAAAGCAATGCAACAATGAATCAGATCATCGAACTACTAGATCAGATCAAGCTAGCTAAGTGGATGATAGCGATAGCTCTTCAATCTTACAGCCCCCTTCCTCTGGCTCGCTGTGCTACTAGTGAAGATAATGATCGATTCAGACGCGCTTGTTTCCAGACAAAAATCTGAGCAAAAATGGCAAAAAGAATCTGGCGTACCGGACGGCGGCTTCAGGCAATGGAAAAGCCCGCTTAACAGATGCCTGCGGGACTGCATTCCTTGACGTGAAACAAACTCAGTATTTTCTAGCGTTACAAGATCTTGGAAATAACGTAAACAATATAGTAGTACGCGCACATACACACACTAATGCGTATTTACTCTGTTAAATAAGAGTAATCTACGCACAAATTTATTATCGATAAGTATATTTCGATATCGATAAGTAAGGGTGCAGTAAGTATACTTCGGTGTGCAGGGTGTTGGTCAACAATAACGAATGCAGACGGATTTCAATTGTTTCTTGAAGCGCTTTCTTTGTGGAACTCAGGCATCCTTCTTAAAATGATGACAATTTTAACCTGGTCAGTTAATTGGATTTTTCATACGTTTTCAATTAGATCGAGTGGATAATTGATACTGCGCAACGCCTTCATGATACCGTGTATTTATACACGCATTTTACTGGAACTCTCGCAGACTTCATGTCCGCCATGAGGTTTGTTCTCCCGCTGCCTTTTGCGGTCGGCTTTGCGTTTGCTGAGTGTATTTGGACTAGAGTTGCACTCCTCGACCTGGATATACATGGGTACGTCACTTCTTAACAATATCTAGAGAAAGTCATGAATATTGTTTTGCTAGAATTATGTATTTATTGCTTTCTAAGAAACGCACGTGAGCGGCAATGGTGGCATTGTTGTCAGAGGCCACTTGTTTCAGTTTTTGGCGCGACATTTTTTGCTCAGAAATACTGCAGCAGCCATAGCTTGTAGATGTTTTACATAGCTTCAAAACGTTTAGGCTCTTCATTTTGGCCTCCTGGCATAGTTTTGCGATGATCATCTAGAAGGGCCCTAGAAAAATCTATAGAGATAGTATCAGGCGCGTTTTTGCCCTCTCAAAGGATCCTGCTTCTGCTTGTTTCCGTTCGTCACTTCAGCACTTATCTAATAGAAGTTTTATTTCATAGTTGACTCATTAGGGAAAGGCAGTAAGTGCTGCAAACAGCAAGTTCAATTAGCTAGTATTATGAAGTCTAACGAATAATTGTGACTACCCTACTAGGACTACTTACATGGAACATCGATTAAACGGACAGGACCTTCCTTGTTAGATCGTTCTGCCGACCAGTGTTAATGGTTCAGTTAGTATCCGTCTTTTATTACATATATAATAACATTCCCCGTTTAAATCGATGTGATCAATTACAAAAGTGGCGTCAAACAATATAATACTAGCGTTGTATATGTCCTCGATGGTTTATTGCTGGTCGAGTTGGGGCTGCCCTTTACGGCCATGAAGATAATCACATCGATTAATATTGGAGATAGTTGAAAGTGATTCGGGAACTAGTACACTCCTGATGCAGTTCCAGCTGTAGTGATAACTTTCGGCAATCCTTCATGTAGCACTGGCAGCAAAACAGACCGTAACAGGGAGAAGAGAATAACTAATATGGCTGTTTTCCGACTTCCCGATTGATTTGCGTATTGAGGCCATATGTATTTGCCTACCCTAATCTAATGCATCCTTTTATGACAATTTATACCTTTAAAAATTGCTTTTGTTTTACTGTTCATATTACTTCTGTGGTCGTGAAGAAAAGTTCTTCCTCTTACATGCTTTCTTTCGTCCCCCATAATAACTGTTGCTTTGGCTCTCTGATCAGAGTTTTCTATCGGACAAGAGTGTTATTACTGGATGAACTGGATATAGGAAGCCGTCCTATATGCTACCACAAACGTTTAAGTCATCTCTCAAAATTTTAGCCAGATCCGTTTTACAAATGTCAAAATTTAGTCCATCCGTTACTTCAACCTCGGAGCGAAACGTGAATGTGATGGATTTCGCGTAAGATTACCTTGTGGGCCGAAGTCTTTCAAAATCGTCTGAATGTAGGAGCTCGGGCTTTAGCTAACGGCTCTCTTTTCGTGGAAAATGATGTTGTAGTGGTACGACTCGTAAGGTCATACTGTATTTGTTTGAACCGTCCTACAAGTAAAAGGTTCCACGGTCCATCTGAGTGCAAGTGAGTTTCTCCATTGTCTTTCTTGCTGCCCTACCGCCTGATAAAGATGATCGGACAAGTATTCAATGCTCTTGTACTATAATCACTCGTACTCCATTTGGGTAATTTTTGCGAAGGGTTTTAAATACTCTCTTGTGGGGTATACTAGTTGCAAAAAGATTGTTTCTTAACTACAGGTTTCTTTGAATATTTATTCCATTACTATTCATTTCCAGCACCCTCAAGCGATGTGTAGGTATATTACAATCTTCTATATCAATTTTCCTTGAGCTAACCACGTCGTATAATGTTACGAGAAAAGTATACGTTTTACGAGGGTATCATCGATTTTCGTACTTCAATCAATTCCCCAATTCTGAGTGTGATACCTGTTTCGTTCCCAATTTCGGCAAGGCGTCCGCTTGACTGAACTCGGATTTTTTATTTCGAAGTTCTGAGTCACAAAAATCGTGGTCCGATTTCGCGAACGACCCTCAGCCGGATCGCCATACCGCACTTCGAGCCTGATATTTACAGGAAGATATTTACATTGCCAGAAGTGACTTGACTCCGCGAGGAGTATACATTTCCGTTCAGGTCGATACTGGTAAAATTTCGTAATCATGGAGGAGATTTCCAACATTTCTTTTTTGATTTTAGAACACTTCTTCGGAACTGTTTAATTACGCACGCAACGGTCTGTTCAAAGCATCGAACAAATGGTGAAAGCTTACACATACACTTACTGATAGCGCACTTACTTCGATCTGTGACAATTACAGTCGCTAAGGCCGGACTGTAGAAGCTTTGACTAGCAAGTTAAACATCGGCATTTCTTCGATCTTCACAATGTCTACGCATCCAGAATAAAATCTGCTAATCATATGAAATCATGGCAGGAAACGGGTAGACTCGATTGGTGTCTTTAAAAAACTCATCCGATTCACACGGGTTACATGCTCTGTGGCGTTAGCGAATCTTGGACCAACGATCCGTTGTTTCTTGACAGAACCGGGCAGGCCATCTAAGCCACTGTAGCTGAAAAGGATCCTTTACAGAATCAAATCTTCGGTATTATATTAGTGGTAATAATCAAATTAAATTCAAATATTAATGGTAAAATTCAACTACCAAACTTAGTTTGGTCAGAGGTGGAACGCTTCACACATTTTAAAGCCCAGAATCCGCAGTTTAAAGGAGAAAACTGGCCTAGCGATTATCGTGCTCTTCGACGGTCTTCTACGATGTCTTTAAGATTTACGGCTTAACCTCTGTTCCTTCCACCGTGAGGTGCCTGGTTTATTGAAAAATAGGTGAGACCTATTTTATGCCGAACAGATTAACGCTTATGCTCTTTTTGACAAGGTACTCACTCGAGTCGTATATTCCAATCTCCAAATAAGCTGCAAAATATATTCCAAGCTGCAAATAAGGACGATTTAGCTAGCATTTGGTATTATACGATTTGTTAGGTTGCAAAGAACGTTGTCGCGTTTTTTATTGAATAGAAAACATTGAATTTTTTATTCCTACGATAACAATTTATTAGCTTACGTATCCCCCGTCGTTGTGTAAGACCTTCTACCACCTCTCCACCGAATGAAGCAGGCCTTTTCGCCAGAAGGTAGCAGGGTTGCGTCGAGAAGGTTTTACACCCACGTTTTGAGCCGTTGATCCGATAAGGCCAAAAGATGATTGTTTGATAAACCGGAGAGGTGAAAATCTGTTGTCATAAGATATGAAGGACATAGAGGCTGCAACATTCTGAGTACAGGAAGGCAGCTTCGATGATGTGTGCCATGGGCAGGATAACCTGGCTTGTTTTTCTTTCTTGAATAGCCTGGTTGACTTAATATAACTGGGCTAAATAAATACGCCGGCTAACTGTCTGGTTCACGAAAAGCAAATCTCAGTGAATCGGGCCTTAATAATTACACCAAACGTAAAGCACAACCTTTTCAGATGAACATCTAGTTGTACGTTAAGCCTTAGCTTATCTCGTGGAGGTACCCATTCCGATTTTCGCTTTATATCGACGTACAGACAGTATTTCTGATCATCGATAGTAATTCCGTGTAAAAACCGGTTAATGTGGCTGTGTAACGTCGGATATCAAGCAAGATACCGGGGTATAGCGCTAAGCCGTAATTCCTTGTTGAATTTAAAAGCTCCCGAAATACCTGAGCTCGAAGTTCCTGCGTAACTCCAAAACAGTTAACAACAACACTTTCTTGATCAGTTCTTGAATTGTTTGTCGGTCGTCTTCCTTTAAAAATGCCTTTAGATGTATTCGTCGTCAAACTTTAATAATACTATTTAACATTTTCCTACATTTAGACCTAACATATATGTGTAGCGGCTGATATGTTTCGTTGCATTGCCCAAACCTACATGTTTATATGATCAGACGCTAACAGATTTTGATCTGTAGTGTGCAGTTCATGAATATGCCTAATGATCCGTGATTTTCAGGTTTCCATGGCAGCGTGATGTGGCTGTCCAGTGTTGCATGGACAATGAAGATGCCACAGATAATCACCTTAGCATTCGTATACCCTCAAAGGTAAGCGGCCAATGCTGCGATTCAAACTACTATTACTGGTTTTAACAGTAATAATTCTTTGTTTTATTATTTAATTTTGTATAAAATAGCCAAATGTACGACACACGAATATATGTGCCAAATTGAGGCAATATAGAACATTTGCATAGACATACGTACGTAACATGATTGCGTTTGGCATTTCATTCTTAGATCGAAGCGCGTTAACAAGTACTTGTGTTACCTGCCGCAGGCCATTCGATAGCCTATGTAGTAGAAATTGACGCAAATTTTTTAAGGGAACATTAATTCAGCAAGGACTCAAGCTATGCCATTGCGAAATTACTATTTTCCGTCAACGGCTACACTACTTACTTATCTAAGCTAGGACAAATAAACGAACACTGAATATTTACGTATATCAATGTCGATCTTCGAACGATATAATATAACATATAGCTTTATTTTGTTTTTCGTGAACTATATGATTTTAATAAACTAGTGCCCGTTGAAGCCCCTCGAGCTCTTAACTGCCCCAACTGCACGCATTGTACGCTAAAAGCGAAAACTACCAATAGCGTCGCTCTTGCTTCTGTTCTATACGTTAGATAATTCTCTGACTGCGGCTTTTGGTCAAAAATCTCTATTGCGGAGGACCGTATAGAAGGGTATCTGTTAAATAGTTTTAGACTGGAAGCTAGATGGCGTTCTATTGGAGACAGTACCCTTGTCATGTCTTCATGGTGATGCCATGGGAAGCTTTTATTAACGCTTCCGCTTGGCCTTTCGATCATATCCTTCGCTTGGCTCGGATAAAATGTTCGGGCGATTGTTATACTGATACGATATTGCAACAGCCAATTGTAGTTTGTGTTTTATCGAAGACACTCTGTTTGTGTAGACTATGCTCGCCAGCCTTCGTATATAAATTTTTGGGTTATAATGGTTACCTTTGTTTTATTTTTATTATTAATAGAAGAAACTTAGAGGGTACCATCGCTAATTTTAGCATTTTGTCATATACTACAATATGGCCGTGATTGTTTAGCGGGTAACATATTTGCCTGCTAATCTTAGGGGCGCGTTGTGATCTAGATCCGAATTGGGGCATAGACGCACTTTGTTATGTCTGGGGTTAATTGTCTGAGTGCTTAACGGCGATGCCGGATGCAAGATTCAAAACATAGAGAATATAATACGCAAATAATGGACTTATTAAGTAATTAGGTTAAAAGGCAAGGAAAAGTCTCGCATCATGAGGTATATAACAGACTTCCTGTACGTGCATTGGGGGATTTCGATTATCGCTTGCCTTGTGGGTCCACCAATGTAAACACTGCCCTTCATACACACGTCCAACTAATTTAATTTATTTCCAAAGCTGACAGGATTTTGCTGATGTTAACATAAACTATCCGCTACGATTTTCTTTTCACTTTGTGATCGCATTTTCATATTGGGCTTATAATTCTGCAACATGTTGCATGTGGAATGCTAGGTCCCTAGACCGAGTCCCTAGATTCCAACTTCTGTTGTCACGAAAAGAGTTCTCTTCCTTCAAATCCCGACATCTGGTCATCTCCTCGCTGACCTTCGACGCTTCGATCTTCGATCTTTGCACTATTCAAGTGAAGCCTACTTGCCTTCTATTTTCAGCAGTTTTCGATAAAGCGCTCTCCAATTGCTCAAACAAAATTGGTCATATTCCTTTGCTGAGAGAACGGAATAAAGGTTTCCAGTATTTGAATAGTGTTCTTGAGGCTTGAAGATGGTAAACTTAAGTTCTAACTAAAATAAAGTCACGTGCCAAGCTTCGTACTTCTACAGATCAAATAATTAAAAAATTCATTATGCTCATAGGCAACTAAAAACGGACGTTGCGAAACATAGATAATTGTGGCCTAATCAAAGGCGATGTAATAGCATCACGCAGAAAAACATCATTTTACCTCCCCTGAAGAAAATGGGACAAAATCTTCAGGGAGAAATCCGCACCTTTTTCGAATGGGAACTAAAATGGTAAAAGACTACCCTTTTTAAAAATTTGTTGCAATCTGTATGCGCTGTGCATCGCATGCATTTTGCCACGGCGTCCGCGAAATGCACGATGTCATCTGAAGTCACGGAAGGTATTCGTACCGCATTATCACACACGATGTTCTAGATTTCACTACTATACGTACGTTTCCAACGATGTTGTTTTATATAGTAAACCTTATAGCATAAGATATATCGCAAAAAATAAATACATCACATCAGGTAACTTAGAACCTTTGTTGATCGATGACGACCGTGAGACTAAACAACGTTTTAGGCGTAGCTTTACTACGTTGGAATCAAGCGAACCTTGTTCGGCTTTGGCCCCTACCTAATAGCCCGCGTCTAATTTTTGTGCAAGACAGTTTGACGACTTTTTACATTAGGTTTTTTGGGAGGTCCTGCGATATGCGAAGTAAACTTACTTGCTGATATCCACAGGCCCCTTTCATTAATAGCCATACTCACTGAGTTGGTCAGTCAACGCTTCGTCATATTTGGGTACAGCCATAGCTGTACTGGTACTTAGAAATTTCCAATGGCTCACACGCCTGTATAGGGACTTTTATCACCTAAAGGAATATTAAGTTTAGTGATTGATCCTAATATTCCCGGATTCGTCTGTGGGATAAGTCCACTTGAATTCATTGTCCTGAAACGTTTGGAGCCCTTTGTTCTTGCTTGTAGAGCAACCAGACGCACACGCTTGCTCCGCATTAGCTTAAACCTTCCCACTCACTATATTTAGCCGAATTTTCCATTTTCCTTCATCATACTCTAGTCTGGTCTGATCATCAAGTTTGAAGATACTCTTTAACTAAGCGAACTTTTTTTAACTAAGTATTATGTTCAATTATCTCTTATGGTAAAACTTACTTATGGTAAAACTTACACTTACACTTACTTATGGTAAAAGTGTATTCCTAGTGAATTGGCAGTAAAATACGACAGAGAATTATTTTTTGGTTCATTTCTGCATCTGAATCTACCTAGGTATTTTCTATGACAGGTTAAAGATTTAAATAGTTTTTTTACATTACATCTATGCTGTTAGGTAAGAGTTTCACTAAGGAGCACTGACATTATTACGGCCAGATGGTCTGCAAGCTCATATACTGCATATGGTTCTTATATTGTTACTGTTCGGCAACAATGTCATAGCTACAGCGTCGTTACAGGTTGTGTATATTGATGACTGTAATATGATTTTGTTTTCTTCCCACCGCTAAACTTCATTCATATTTGATAAGGTTTCGTGCAGTAAATACTGTTTTAACAGCGTGTCATTAATCCTTCATAAACACCTTCGGTAAACCCTATTCGTGCCACTTGCCAAAGGCAAAAAAGGTCAGACGCTCGCACATTTACGTTTTCCTCAACGTGGAAAGTGAACTGTCCTGCTTCTCATTTTAGGGTAGCGAAACTAATCCATTCGTATATTTTTTCGCCGTTCCTTAAAAGTGACGTCGCCTTTTCTCCTTAGTTATTCACAAACCTTAATTAGAAAACAAAAGAATTACTCAAAAGGAAATAATTTTCCCTGTAAGCGTTTGTTAATTTCCCTTCCACTCCTTTCCGTAATGGAGCATCGTATTCAACAGTGTCTACTACCTTTTTAGGCCTCGATTAATGGCAGCTATCAGGTTTTTTCTGCCATGAAGTGTTAACGTTACGTGTCTTCATTTGTATGCTAGGGGCTATAAGAGATGTCACAATCGCAGCAATTTAAGTTGATAAGTTTGATCGACCGGATAAACAAGGGATATGCGAGAACAAGCTGCTCCGAGAAGTTGATTGTGCCTTACGTATAAAGCACAAATAGTCGTTTTATCGAATTAAACAAAGTAGATTTGCACTTACGTGTAACGATAAAAGATCGGGTTCTGTTTACTGTTCACTCATAACGAAATTGCAGATTTATCACGATCAAACTATAACATGATCCCCTATGCAAGGCTAGCAATCTCGAACGGCATTTAAAATCCATAGTATTAGATACTTTTACAATAGTGTAACTTTTGTTGATGAATTCGTAATAGAAAAAACACAAGTGCGTGCAAAATTGGCATGCAAAATCATATATGGAACCCTAACTATTGAATCCTTTTATTTATCATATTATTTGTCCTATCTGTGACCTTATCTGTGAATGATCTACCTATCTATGGCCTTACGTCGTTTGAATGGTAAGTTGTTTAATCTTCGGGGCAGGAAAGTCTTTATTATTTTGAAAGGATATTGGTATTTGAACGATTTTTTCATTTAGTAGTTGTCTGGATTTCAACCTGTGGGAGCACCGTCTGAAGAGTATGGTGGGTAACAGAAAATCTCCAACTGTAATTACTACATTATTGCCAGGTTGATTTTTATGGTGCAGGATCGCCCGTTGCCGAGCGATAGAAGTGTCTTAGTCTTCTTGCCTAATCTTAACCCCTTGAGTCTAACAAGGATCTTAATTTTTTAGATAATGACTTTTTTCATAATCTTCTCTAATTATAGACTGTATCTTTCAGCCGTAAGCTATAGTAAACAACATCTACATCAGATTGCTAAACATATGTCGTAAGTTTCTGTATCTGTACATTTGTTTTCGGATACCGTGTCACAGGTTCAGTTTCATCCACCCACTGACAGAACCATCCGTAATTCCCAAGCTACAATTCGGTGCAACAATTCATCATTGTCGTAAAGCGTCCTTAACGTCTCTATGTTTTATTCTTGTTTAAGTTATGTACAACTAATATTGAAGCTTTTTTTTTATTACTTGTTAATTTGACCAAAATGAATAGTTGTGCTGTTTTTACATTTACAGCAGCCGTGAGTGCTAACACCGGTGCATTTTGAGACGGATCGGCTTTTACCATAGCTAACGACTATTCGTTTTTCGCCCCCGCACAGAGTTTTCCACGAGATTTATCTTCACTTTGAGATTGCCCTTTCGCAATTTCTTGTACGAACAACTCACAGTCCTTCTAGCGGGCGAACCCTAATCCAATACAAGGTTTTTATGGCCAGCTGTAGGTCCAAGCTGGAATTCGCTACTTGAATTTTCCGACCTTTTTTGGCCTAGTACAATGAATGAATGAATGAATGATTTCAGATTTTAAAACGTGCAGGGGCATCTCGAACACAATGAAGATACCGCACGGTTAAGAAGAAAACCGTTATTTTGTAAAATCGCCACACTCCGTATTAGGCTAGCTTCTCGTCATCAGCGAGCACTACTATGTCACGCTACTGAAGTAGCTCACTTTGTCATATATCACTCACTAGAAGAGCCCCCGCTATAAAGAACTAATCAAATCTTACCGTACAGGGAACTACAGACAAATATCGGGCAAGAGCAATCCAAACCTTCGCCCAGACTAGAACAGCTCGAAGTATCCTGAAAGTGCCTCAGTTCTGAAATGCGCAAAATTACCATAGCGTACTTACGTTTGTTTTGAAGAGTTCGCTCGCACCGAAGTTTGTAAATCTAATTTCTAATAGTTTTCTTCTCCTAAACCGTTTGCATCTAAACAATCAGGACTTACAGATGCTTTTGTATTTCCAAATTGCTAATAGCCGTCTATAATGCAACAAATCTAAGGTTTCTAGCGATAATTGCGCCGATCATCTCTGTATCGGTAAAATGGCTATAATTCAGAAATTCACTTTCCTTCTGTATCATCGATATAATAATGACTTGCATTAATTATCTCAAAGGTACACTCAATATAATTAGCTTCTGTTTGTTAATTTTAGCTTTTATCATACATACTTTTAAATTTAAAGTCCCTAAGTAATATAATGTACACCATATGTAGGTAAATTAAGGTGCTAATGGCTTCAAAAGGGATATACGTAGACTAGCATAAACGCATTCTTCGGCTTTCTTATAAACCGCGTGGTAACACGACTATATAATAGGAACAAGCTTACGAAAAATTGCTCCTTAACATTTTTGTCCAGGTTGAATTGAGTCCATACTTCCCAAATTCAGGACTGTAATCGTCGTTCTCATACAGAGCATATTCAGAATCTGACGTCGTCGTTACCGGCCACGTTACATTCCGAGTGTGTCCCTTATCATTCAACGCAATTTCCCATTCATCGTTTCCAACAGTTATCGATCTGTCTAAAAGTCCATCCCTTGGCTACTCGATGTTATCTATCAGGATAGAGGAGCCCGAGTCAAAGGCAAAGTGGGCTCGGTGCGGAAAAATTTGAACAGAAACAAGCGCCTTTCCTTTTGCTTTCTAACCTTCTCATTCTGGTCGAATCTCTCTGGCAGTCGAGTTTATATGATCTTGCACTTCTCTGGGACAACGGCAGTTGGCAGATACGGACGAAAGGAGAGCTGGATCAAGCGAAGCTGCGAAAGCTGTTTTAGCTGTATATTTTTTACGCCTGACTACGCCGACCTGACTACGGCCTTCTCATCCTGCACAAAGGCAGATCCTTAACAGGACTCCAGCCAATCTCCGACGTCTCCAATACCGACCAATAAGTCGTACATGCTGAACGGACCCACACGTTGTCCGCCCGGTCTCGCACTGTCTAATCCAATCGAAGCAATTCTCTTTGCAACGTCTCTAGCGGTTTTCCCGTATTCCTTGCCATCCTCATTCAGGCTCACTCTTTGGGAAGCATGTTCAGCCTCCATTTAGGTGGAATTAGGGCCTTTACAGCAAAAGCCCCCACTAAAACCTAACGAGAAGTCGCAAGTAAGCACTGGTCAGGGATTTTCTTAATCGGTTCCGGCTAGGATATAATGAGCCGAAGACTAATCGGGATCCATACGTAACATCATTAGTAGTAGATCACTTATGGTAAAACATCCTTTTTTCGTTTTTTTTTTCTAGGAGGTTGAAGGCAAATGCATTATGCAAACCAAACTTCACAGACGTGTTCTTCGTCTGGTATTGTGGGACTCTCACCCACTAAACCCTGGACCTCTCACAAACTTGGGCTTTAGCTCGGAATATAGTTTGATGCTACTTCGAAGTAGTAAAACATCCTAGAATTGGTTTTACGTCCCTTAGGTTCCACGCTTCGATTAGGAACGAAGGTACAGGCAGTTCGTGAGACTTCATTCAACTTGCAAAATTGAGACAGTTCCCATTTATCGAGGCACTCATAGACGCATCTCTGCAGACACAACGTTATTTCGGTGTGTGTCGTTGTCTGTCTGTCTGTCTGTACAGCAACCTTTACAATTGATGAATTATCGAAAACGATATTTCATAATGTTTTCATTTATGTTCTTTTCGTCGTCTCTTTATGTATCCTTGGCTTTATTCTATCTCCTCCATTTGCGTTTGATCTTCAGTACGTTCATAGTGAATATATTAGAAAATGGCTACAACAGATTAGATCTAATGGTTACGAGATACGCTCTCACAGAAAACCAACTAGGGAAGATCTCTGAGCAACTGTTCTCTGTAATGCGCATACATTTGCACCAAGAGTAAAAACGCTGATTTCTCAGATGTAACGATTGGCAAGTCCACACATCCTATTGATAGACGCAGATATGCACGAAATAATCTATAGCTAGAAAATATGTTTGCTTCTTTTCAAAGCAGCGATCAAAAGCCTTCAGGCTCCGGATGAACGATTTTGAAGGTTGGACTCGTTCCAGCGGCTTGCACCATTCCAACTTTTATGACAATTTTTCCCTACATAGCACTATATTTTACTTTCTATATATGCAACGTATGCTTTCACAGTACATCGCACCGTAATCTGGGTTCAAGAAGATGTGATGTAGTTCGTAGGTTTTTTTATAGACCCACATTTGCCCTTAGCGGAGTTGCTTAAAGCCTGCTTTTTCCACCAGCTAAATTGATAAACAATTAAGCCACAGCTTCACGGCACGATACCAAAGGACAAATATTAGCCCAAGCCATCAGTCAGCAAGTCACAATTAAAATTTAGTATGCCGATACGTGGGAATCCGTTTCAATCGACTAGGTCAAGGTCGTGATTGTATCAGGGCACAGAGTTAGGTTGCGCTTCTTTCCTCTGAAGAGGTGGCTATAGAGTAAGATGGACTGAGCGATACAACCATGTGAATACTACTAATATCGAACCATGTTGAAGTTGACTATGCTACCACAGTTGACTTGGTCTCATCTACATGGTAGAAATCTATGCGCAGCGCATAAAGCTCAGATGATCAGAAAGAAGGATTGTTTAGTGTAACCCTTCGCTAAAGGCTTCGCGCTAAGTAATACCTTTTGAGCTGTACATTGGTAGTTCTCAAAAGATGTGCTCATCAATGCGCCCTTGAATACATTTGATTTAGTTTCAACACTTGGTTAACTTATAGAAGCTTTATAGGCGTATAAACGTATGCGTACTACTGCATAGTTGATTGTAGTCAGGCTTAATTATATTGCAAACTTTCTCGTGGTTAATGACTGGACGAACCATAGAACTCAGTAATCACACTGCCAAATTATGCAAAGTATCTACAACTTACCTGTAAGTAGACTTAAGCCTTTTACGTACGATATGTCCTGGAGGGCAAAATGTGACACGTTTGAATGACCTCTGGCCAATATGAGATCTGGGCCTTAAATTAGCCTACCTGTATAAACATTCGCTACAATACGATAAATGATTAATCGTTGATGCGCACATACCTGCGGCATTAAAACATAGCCTTCGATCTACTGAGCCTGATTTTTTAACATAAGCTACATATAATTCAATATGCAGCTCTGCGTAATTCCTACGTATGCCAGCCAACATATCTCGATTTTCGAACTATCGGTTTTTATCCCTAGTCTGATATAAATGTCAAAGTAACATGCTGTTTGAAGCAGAACAATATAAAAATAACAAATGTTTCCATTGACACGATACGCTAAATTGATTCTGCTACTGTCGTTCCTTTTCGTACTTACAACCACTCCTACGGCGTGACAATGGCCGACGTACATCGGTTTATCGCGTCCCGCCTGCGCATGTCGGCGCCCCCTGCAGACGAACAGCTGTACATCATCCATTGACGCCTCATCAGGCTGCTTCTCGTTCGAATCGATGCAGCGCCTCCTTGACCTGTCTATATCTTCTAGCGCTCAACAAAGCAATTCTCCCAGCAAAAGTGCCCTTTACTTGGGCATTTCGAACGCAACAACGACCACTGCGGGTACGTATATGGTATTCAAGAAAAATAGCTAACACTCCAGCGACGGCAAATGATATTATTATATAAGCTGTTGTAATAGTTATTATGTATAGCAGTAAAATCACCGATATCTGGGTATCTATCTAATGCCATACCGTGAGATACAGTCTGTACTCAAGGGAAACGTCTGTAGGCATGGCTGTAAGACGACCGAAAGACCGGAAAACATTAAGCATCATTTGCAGGTACTAGAATGAGGAAATGAGAGCTTGAATAGGGTACCGATTCGAATGCTATTTCCTTACGACTGGAAAACGACAAATTTTGTTGTTTGTACACCTATCGTTGGCCCAGTTTCATAGGCAATTGTCAATGCAAGCTTGCAGCTGCACTATTCCTGCAGCTCATTTGCTAAAAGGCAAGCGTAGCTCTTCCCTGGATCGAGTCCCAGGTTCACTATTATACATAGTATCTTTTCTATTGCTAATTTTTGCCCAAGGTACTGACTGGAAACGCTTCTCGCGTTGATCTGCTTACCAACGAGCAGCTCCTTGGCCTTTAAAAATCATCACATAGCGAACGAGTTAAACAAGAGCAGGCAATTTAGAGGGCAAGTATACGAAGACAAGACCTTCAAGTTACCTAAAAGCAAATGCGTACAGCCTAAACGTCTCGCGAATTCAGTGTGCAGGTGCCAAGACGAAAAAACAAAAAAATATTTAGTTGTCCGTTTCACAAACTTCGCCGCACCTATAAAATTAAGCTGTAATTCACAAGCAACGTTTCGCTGAAGCAGATAGAACTAGATCTTTTTAGGTAAAAAACAACGAAAAAAAAGTTAGAGAATAACTAACTGATAAAAATAAAGCAGCAAGTTACAATTGCGTTCTGTTATCAAGACAACTGAATCCTTTTATATCATCGCCTAACAGATTAAAGCGTTAGCCAAAAAATGCTCAGTCATTCGTACAGTTTTTTTAAAAAAAATAAAATTTTTTTTTTAACTTTCTTATCTCATACTGCTGCGTCAACCCATTGAATTTGAAGTGTCATATCAAGTAAAAAATTTTTGCCGGACAATAAGTATCGCCATCCGTGCGAATTATTGTCATTTTGTTAAATAGGTAATCAATCTATGATTTGAGTTTCGTACGTCGGCGGTCAGATCGGAAAACGTCTTTGGACCCAGCGTTGATTGCTCGGATCACTATTCATACGCTTTAAAATTGAATTCTAGGTTATAATCTACTTGTTTTGTAATTCACCGATGAGGCTGGACACCCCACTGTCCATTTGCGTATTGAAGGGGCAACGTTATAATTTTTTTTTTCAAAACGATCATATCTAATAAAAGCATCGATCGCTTAATATCACACTATTTACGGGAGATTTATATATAACTCTTTCACCGTTCCGACAACCAGGCCATTGCGTAAGCCCATCTATAGTACCCTTTGGATCTAAACATAGGCCGGGTAAACTCTACTGTAACAATACACGAGGCTCTTCCCGTTTGAAACAACATAAACGAACGTTTTCGTAATATAATACCAGAGTTACGTGTACTCCTTTGTAACTAACTGCGGATTATTGTATTAGACATAATTGACCCAACGAGCGATAATTACATAAGCTAAAAGGGCATGTACATTGTATTTGAAAGAAAATAACCATATACTCAAATCTGACATAGCTTAAAGAAACGCGCTTTGCATGACTTAAGTAGGGCAAACCTCTTGGGGCACAAACAGCTGGAAGCAGAAAACGTATTGGCTATTTACATCTTCAGCTGTCTATTAAGTGTACAGAGCCCAAACTAGCTACTAATTGGTTTTAACGTTATCTACTAACCAAGTATGCTACTCTTTTTTACGTACAGGGCCCCTTTCACTAGTTTCTCAAATATGAATACCGTCAGTCTTACTGTTGGAATCATCTAATCGGGCAAAATACGATTCTTAAATAGTATATTTTGCAATAAACCCAAAGGGTAACCAATGATTGGGGTTCGAATGTTCCTCACTTTACAGTAATTACACCCATGCTGTTGTATAATGTTGGTCGCCGTATCTTGCCGTTGCGCTTCGCCGTCGTTCAATTTTTCAGAGCTGCATGTCAACGAAACTTTGCAGATCCGTATCATGATCCACCCGTTTTTCTCGTTCCTCGTTATGCGTTCGGCGATCGAATTCTCTTTAGACCTGAGGTTAAGCTATGCTAGAGGCATATTTCCGCTGAACTCTCTGAGTTATCACCAACAATATTATATCATCAAGCTTTAGAAAAAAGAAGACAAGCACATTGCGACCAAGAAGACAAGCACATTGTAGTGGCCTGGCCGTCGTTTCTTGCCAGACACGCTGCTTGTTAGCTCTTACGTACAGCAGCTAGCTGAACAAAAGGCAGTGGGGAAGAGAAGGCCAGGAACGGTTTTTCTGTTATAGAAGCCAACCGCCTCGAGTCATGAAATGTATGGATTTTTTGTTTTTTATTACTTTATGCCACATTTGTGTAAAACTGTATGTGCCGCATCGATTTAGGCCAGCTATAGATAAGTGACCTCTTGCGGGCGCGTTTCCAGTTGGACATAATAAATTTTACCTTGGCTCATGCACTTGTAGTCGAAATGAAACCTAAACTTGTCTATTTTATTAAAAATCTAAACAATGATGAATCTCTGTCTATGACGTTTCCTCAAACACAAACTTAGAACCTTTTGTTTGTTAGGACCCCGTGCCATATCTCTTGCCTTCGCTCAGTGCGATAGAATATCCCTTGCGAGTCTCGTTGGTTGAAGATCTGCTAATTTTGCCGATCACGTACACTTTCTGCAGACATACAGATTGAGTAGTTCTGAAGGGAACAAACTAAAACAAAATGATGCCTATTCGTACGCAAGCGATCTCTTTTTCGGTATACGGAAGCATACTTTGTATCACAAAGCATATGCAATGTTAGATTTTTTGTGGAAAACTCGTAAGTAATACGTAGGGAACAGTAGCGCCTAAGTTTCAATGAGGTCAACGACATGCTAGAATAGCATGTTTTCTTAGTAAACCAAATAGAGGTGAAGGCGATACTTTCGCGACGCTGACAGGAACACAGCGACTTCCCTGAGGGTGCGTTCGGAGAGAAATTTTCTATCACATCAATGAAAAATCACAGTTATGATCATGGATCCTCTTCGAATCTAGATGCGCTTATTCAGTTTCTGCTTTTGTGATGTCTGGACGAACACAGCTTTTGCCTGAGAAAAATAAATGATTTTACTCTCTGACTCGTCCAGAATATTGTCTAGCATTTAAAACAGACAAACATAAAAGTCTTCCTATTGTAGACAGGAGATTGCGTACTTCTCTCTAGTTCTAATTTATTATACGAAATAATAACACGCAAAAAAAATGGGAGGAAAACCTCGCCTACCGTTATTCCAATGCTCTGCTCACTTTTGAGACCTTAAGCATATCAAGATACACGGTGATGTTCTGACCATCATACAGTACTACCACAAACGTACTACGGCTGAATTAAGAGGCCCTAAAACACTGTTTTGTAATGTACAGCTACCTAATATAATCAATTTACGAAGCGGATCCTTAAGCTTTTGCAATCTTCTTTGGGAAACATCTACCTCGATCCAAAAGGTTTCGGTTTTGCTCATTGATATTAAGCAGGCCAATACAGGGAGACCCTGTTTGAAATGTTAATTACGAGAGATGCGTAACCTTCAATCGGGGCTGTATCTGCGCGTATGTCTGTGTAAGTATATGGATTAATTAGATCGAGGATTAGTTCAGCAATTTTTTTTATCCCTAGCCAACGTCGCTTCTAATACCTTTGCTCGTCAACCCGTCCATCGGACTGATTGCAACAGAACGGACTGACAACAGAAATTGAAAAGACAGTAATGTGCTTGGATTTCATGTGTAACGCTCTGCGAATCAGGGAAGCAAGGAAATCGGGAACAAGATGACCGTTCCATGCACAGAAACGTTTGTGGTTTTAGTTTTGGCAGAGATTATCTAATTCGACATCATTACATGGAAAATATGATGATAATGGTACACCTTTACTAAACTTGTACTTTTTGGGCTGCTAGGACGTGGCTGGATTTTTAGGAGACATCGAAGTTGTTTTTACAGGCAGGAATGTGTCCATCATAAGATGGTATCGTATGAACAATACGATACAAAAAGGTGTAAAAAAAAGAAAGATAGTAGATTAATTAAACATGAGTGACAGTTGTTGTGCTTTAAGTGGTGCGCCTATCTCTGTGCCTAGCATATGTATTTAAGATATGTCTTTGTATTTCTCATGACGTTACTAGATACAACACAACTAGATTTGCACATAGCAACCACAGCGGGAGGTTAGTACCTTCGTTTATCTCTGTTTGTACAAAACAATTGTACTGTACTTCATGGACTAGAGAAAAAAAACTAGCAACAAATATACCTGCTTAAGGCAGTATATATGTACCTGCACAGGATGTGGGGCAATATGCGTCAGGAAGTATGCGGCATCATGCGCTGTAGTATTATCACCGGATGGTCTTACCGACCAGACACACCGATATTCAGATATAGAACTTGCTTTGGTTCGTATGTTTATATTCTATTTTTGTAAATTATTCGTAAAAACATAGAATATTCGTTATGTAAAACTCATGCATATGTTTCCCTAGAAAAACTCTATTTGGACATATTGATTTCAGAACGAGCCAGTCTGCTACAGGGTGTCTAATTTACGGCAAAAGGTATCTGGGCGTCGCAACCTTTAATGTAAGAAAACGCTAAGAAAAGCTTACGAAGCTACTCGAAATGTCAAAAATTTCAGCTCAGTGTTACCTGCTGCTCTCGGCACACTCGGCAGCTTCTCAGTGTTTAGGTTTCTTTTGTGAGAGTTTCGTTGCAAGGTTAGGACGAGGCGTCCGTAACAGTCTCAAGTAGCTATTAAATGGCGTGAGAGTTCTAATTGTTGAACAATTGTAAACAGATTGTACGAATATGAAATTATTGTAGGATTCCAATTATCCTCTGGGGCTGTTATACGACATCGATAGACTTTTCTACGTAATTGTGGGTCGAAGCAATCCTGCGGGATTCTGATACAGAAAGTAATCAGCATTATCAATGAAACCATTTTGTCCCGAGGCAAATTGCGAAGCTAAATAAAGAAAGGCAGGCCTCTTTCGAAATGTTTGAAATAGTTTAGCAAAAAAAAAAAAAAAAAAAGTAAAATTATTCGGCCCAATGCAGTACGGCCAAATAGGTCAAATCAGGGCGGTGGTGCTGGGGAATCAGCGATGTTAGTCGACATCTATGATGGATAAAAATTCAGAAATAGAAATTGATTTACTAACTCCTCTGATCGCAATTGGATAATCTAACAGTATGATAGTTTTGCTGATCCGTGTGTCGCTTCGGTAGCAATGGCATCGATAAATGGCTTTCGAACGACTAACGACATTATGGGCACTTTATTACGTTGCTCTTCGATAATAAAGGGAACCGTTTGTCACAAACGGCAACTCGTTTACAAAGGAGTCACTATATTGATTACGATAGCGTTGCTAGTTACTAAGTAGAGACTAACATATCCGTTGGCCTGTCGGCGATTGCCGCGCGCGAAAACGCACGTGACCATTCGTGCTCGGTGGTGACACGAGAAAAACGTGGCAGAGGCCGATTTGGCGGGGTGTTTGTCCTTGCAAACATGCCAATACAAGCAACAGATTATTAACACTCTATGTACAATGCTATGGTATAGTATAGTTGAATATTGGACTATACTCTGAACGAACGTAAACGGCCGAGGCCTCTGGAACGAAGCAGAACATCAGCACTAGCGTTGCCGGCCCTTTCTCGTACCAACAAAAGTGACATGGCCTTAACACAGAACAAACTGATATGGCATCGATATTAGTAAACGAAGGCCACCAGCTGCCGCGCGCAGATATCGACATAGATTTTTTTTTATGTATCGACGTTAACCGTGAGGTGCGCGGGTAATTGTTTGTCAGACGATTCCGGCAACCCTAACAACTTTGCACTGACTTACAAGTAGCACGATTTAGATTTTTGCATTTTATTACACACGCATATATATGAATATAAACATGGTCTATTCGTAAAAACGAGCTCCTTTGTAGTCTCAGTAAAGGCACAGATTTGGGAAAATATTTTCAAAAATCCATTCCATCTGACACTGGTTCCATCGAACACATATGGAAGTACCATACTGGTATACTATTATCTGAAATATACTGGTAAAATGGTGCATTCGTACAAGGTACGTCCAGTTAGCGTTAAATATTGAACTTTGGTATCAACTGATCAAATCGTATTGAAAAGTCCTGTTTAAAAAAAAGACTAAATATTTTTGAATGGAAATGCGAAAATTCTCAAAAACATGACTGTTTATTTTTCTATACTGTTTTGTTTCGAGCTATTTTTTGTCATCTTTTTATGTCAACCGACGGATAAAACGACGATATCTTTATACCCCGTAACGGTCTCGAGTACGATTCCCACGTGAAACATATTATCTCCTCTTTTTTCGGTGGATACTTTCTTAGACAGGTACCATTTTAATTAATGAACGAAATCTTCAGCAACAATCGAGTTTATTCAGATTTCGGAAACAATTTTTATGTACAATGTAAACGGTGTGGTGCCACATGTTTTAAAATATGCTCCTTATATTACTCAACGGCATTGTAACTTGCTTATTTTTCTTTTCGATCGGTCCGGCCACTTCGTGTTGGCTTCGTACTAATCGGATGTTGGCCAGGTCGCGATGGGAAGCTTGGCGTGAGCCTAGGGGGGTTTCAACTCAACCTACCGTCGCCGAATGTTCACGGTCCCGAATCGCACGATCACGAAACCATGTTTCGACGCTTGTCTGGTAAAAGTGAGGTGTCAGACGATGAAGATGAGCCTGCTCAAGATCCTGAACCGCCACGGTCGGCGCTCCATCGGAGACGCGCCCTCGTACCGCCAAAGGTGCGTATCTTCTGAGCTGCGTATCTACCTAAGAAAACATTCTATACTATATATTACTGCTTTATGAAACTGGAAGTGAAAAGTTAGTCCTACCTGAAACGTAGACGGAACTCGAGCGAATAGAATAGCGTACGCCGTCGAAGGGCGGCAATAGTGCGGTGATTCCGCTTTGAGTTGGAATATACAAAATCGACTCGTTGCAGACCGTTGAGTCGTCGTACGTTTTCGTAGAAATTAGTGGGTGCCCTGTTCCGGACTATTTAATTGAATAGGCGATATATATGTAGTTCAGCGCTGCTTCAAGGACGTGTCAGGGTAAAAAGGGGCTCAATGTGTATAACCTGGGAGACCGAGCATAAAGGGGGATCATGACTATGTTCATAGTCATTTCCTACTGCTCGGATTTTTTCTCTATGCAAAAATGTAGCACGCCCAGATTTCAACTTAAACTCCCTGTGTGCCCCTCAGGTTAGTAACAGACGCGCTACGTTTGCGCCATTGCGGAGACTGATACTCATATTATAGACACATGCATCTTTACGCTTGCTAAATAACCACTAGGAAAGAGTCTCAAATTAGATGCGCTCTTCGCCTACATCATTGCTTCGCGGAATACGGGGTTTCGTTAATAGATGTTAAATATATCACCACTTTATTACCAAACGAAAAAACTAGCTCTGTGGGCAAGCGTAGTTGAAACAAGTTATGAAACTTACGTACAACATGTCTACCGCGAGTTTGCTCAATATTTTGAATAGAATAAATACTGAACTCTTCGATAAAAATAAGTAAAATAGAATAAATAGAGATGGAAATAATAGCCTTACGATTATTATTGTCTACCTACGTTGCTACTGTATATATATTGTCAGCGTTTGATTGCCGATAGCACAGGGTAAAACACGCTCGATCCTTGACCGCTAACCAGCAAAATTCTAGCGGACGGCCATTGACTGATACGTTTAGGTTCAGTTCATAGTTATGCATAAAAACCTATCACACGATCCGAATTTTATGTATCATTTGCTCTAGACGCTTACACTTTTGTGCATAGCACGTACGCAAGCGGTGTTCCCGGTCTTTTTCATGCATTCGATATAACCATCAACAGAGGCAAAATAAACTGCTTCTCATATGTATTATCCGAAGCAAAGTCAACAGATAGCCCGTCACGAGGAAGGAATATAATTTCGCTCAATCTTCCTTGTGTTGGCATTTCGCTGTGCTTACCAACTGCGACTGGCATACGAGACGTCTTTCCGTATAGTTAGCATCGCGTTCTCCAGTGGTCCTGCTCCCAAGTAGTAATTGAACTCTGTCGCTGACAGCAACCGTCTCAGCTGCTGTAGCTCGAGGCCTTCAATGCTGCTTTACGCTTCGGCGTCCTGTCTCGTTGATCTGTGTTTCCGCTTAGCTCACACTTCTGCGTATCTCTCTTCTCGCTTTACGCCATACAGTTCTTTAGCTAAGAAAGCTACAAACCTGGAATTTTCACCTTTGCAACGTTTTTCCCTAAGATCTCTTTCACAGCTAACAAAAAAATGCGCCCACTCTAGATAATGCCCACTCGAAGGAAAAGACAAGCCATGTCTGATCTCTGGCTATCTCTCGCTACTTACTTCTCTCATTACACAGCCGCTATTTTTTTTTCGCTCCCTTCGCTGTACTTTGATCGCCCACGGGTCACTTCAATGAGAACGTGCTTCAAACACCCACCCAGCCTGCGTCTCTGATCATTACCTGTCGCCTAGCGTTCCAACCAGACGGGCGTGTAGTTCGTCCGTGGCTCGTCCTTCAACAAAACCTGAAACCTCATTCAGCATTCGGCTGCATACAGATTAGGGTCCGTAGCTATCTTGGGCACGCATTTAAACAATGGAATTGTTTGCTGCAAGCAGGTTCATTGTGGTCTGCAATCGCTATCCAAAAGCAGCAAGAGGGACATGCTATTGCTACCGGCTGCATTGTAGTTTCACCAAAGGACGACGACGCTAACGCTAGTGATGGGGTCAGTTCAGTCGCCGTTTATCGTAGAGTAGTGACAGGAGTGGTTGGTGTCCGATGTCTGCGCAAATTTCCCGCAACAGCTAAGCTGAGGCCAGGTAACCCGAGATATGGCCTGATTCTGTGTATTTATGTATGTGAAATATATCTCGCTTATATAGGCGGAGGACACATCATAACCTTCCACGCAGGGTAGATGTAGCCGTCTTTATTTTGGCTGCCAGTAGCCGACGGCGCTTGTAGGGCAAAGTTGGTCGTCATAAATAGCTCTTCTAGTGATTGATGGCTGAGGGAGGGAGTCTCTAAGGAGAAGATATACAGATAGTATCCCTTGACGGAAGATCGGTCACCTATGAAGTGTAGTTGTAGTCGGTGCAGTTAGCTAGCTAAACCTAGTCGGATAGCTTACGGGAATGGTGTCCCATTCTTGTTACCTAATTCTGATTACGGAAAAGTCTCTAAGAATGGGACCATGGGCTCATCCGGTTATGGAATGAGCGTCAAGAAGCGCAACACAGATTATGTTAGTTTACAGTCTGTTATGGAATTCCTTAAACAGCTCAAAACTCGCTTGATCGTCGACGCAGAACGTTAGCTATAAAATTTGCTAACGCACCACGGCTGGCCGAATCAGGTCCTCGGTCCTGTAGACCGCTTCTTGGAGATGTTTCCGTCAAAGTATACGATAAACGCGCGATTTCTCTTCTCGCGCCAACGTCGGTGGAGAAGATTTCAATACAACGCGATATCCTGATATCCTTAAATAAGACTTGACACTGCGGGAACTAATACTAGGTCCTGGAAGCCTACGCAACACCGGTCCAGCTAGAATTTACAAGTGCAGCATCTCAAATGCGCCATCATTTTAACACAGTGCTGAACGGCCCTATTTAACGTGTACATATCACCACATTTTCAGCCTAATGGGCTACTAATAATTCTTTTAGTAATCTTTAAAGGAAGACACAACCCAACCGCGCCGTCTTATGACGAAAAAAATGTTTATAAGTTCCTCTTTAGTTTGCTGACTAGAATACATCCCAACAGAACAATATAAATTCCTGAACCTTTTATAGAAACGACGTACAGGATTCTGATGGCCAACATGAACAGAGCACTGGTCGTGCCACACAATCCGCTCTGTGCGGTGTTTTTCGATTTCAACGCAGCTCGACGCTTAGAAACAAGGCTATGCTCACGCTGACCGAGTTGGGTACCCGTGTAAATGTGCTCAGCCATTCCGTTTCGAAACAGAAGGGTAGAATAACCACCCCGACAGAGCGAACAAATCTGCGCGTTTTTTATGGAAAGGTTGTAGTTAGATAAAGTGTAGATTTAGCCTTAGGGGCTTACATTTTCTTTAGAAGGCCTTCCCTGAAGGCCTTCTCTGCTGAAATAAGACGGCCAAAAAGGCTAATCGAATGCAGCCGTCGAAGTCAAAGTGTGTCGACTATTTTGCGACATTTCAGTTTGAGCAGGTTCCAAGTGCAGCAATCTCTGGCCCGGCTCCAAGCGGCGGTCACGGATTTGGGAATGATGGTAAACCTCATCAAAATAGACGAGATGAAGTTTAGAAGGAGCGACAGGACAGCTGCCGCTTTTGTATTTCGCCAGGTTGCCCCTTGCCTATGCTAACCGGGTTCCAGATTTGGAGTTGATCTTTTCTGAGAACGTCAGAAGTTCCACTGTGCGCGCACTGAAAGCTACGAAAAGGCAGTGTCGGCCGCATGGGCAGTCAATTCGTCTTATCGCTTATCCCTCGCAACCGCTCTAGCTCAAGTTATCTCTAATGTGATACGCGTCATTCGCGATGATTTTGTAGTAACTCATTTTGATCATTTAAATCGTAGCAGAGCCTCGTTCCTCAAAAATGTATTACGCTGCATATAACGGCCCAAAATCCGTTCGTGTACCTCCTAGCCGGCTAACTGTCAATCTCAAATCTTAGCAACGATAGCTTTCAAAAGCTTAGAGCAAAAATTGGCGCGAGCGATAAGGGTTTATTTGTTTCGGCTGCAATGAGAACTAACGGATCCAAAGGGACACGCTGGCTAAACAAGCGTCGTCAGTCGCTTTGTCCTGCACGGCTTCCACCTCATCATACTTTATCATGCCGCCGGTTGCTTCTGATTCAGCTTTAGGGCATCTGACGAATTTCTTAAATTAGTGCTATAAACGGAACAAGTTTTGTGTACCCTATGTGCTGTCACGGTTCTATAGACCCACTATGATCCTGGAATATTAAATTATTAACTTGTAAATACGAATTATTTGAATAAATTAAGTGAATAAATCATCTGGCCATCCATGCTATTTTTGTACACTTTGATACGAATACCACGCAACCTTTTTTTTGGCACAGCTTTTAAATAGGTAAGACAGAATATATGTATAATAATGTTTGTGGTGAAGATTTCTTGCTTGAAGTATGCTTGTTTGTCCAAGAAGACGCGACGCCAGAATGCCGATCGGTAGTCAATAAACTATTGAATGCTGGGTAGGCTTGACAAGCTGCCCAGATCACTCGAGAGGTCTTAGTTGCCGTCGTTACTACCATACCCGATACCAACGACCATTATTTAGCAGTCAAAAAATAATAGACATGAGATGAATTAATAATTGTAACCTTTCTCTTAGTTTATAAGAAACAGCCTAAACTCATCCTCAAGTTTCTAAAATAACGACAGCTTTTCCTGTAATTTTTTTCCGGACAGTTCTAGTTTGGGTCATAACTGTGTAATTGCAGTATTAATTATACATTTTATATGACTATTTGTTTCACACTGTCGGCAGCAAACGCGAGCCGAGTGCTTAGGAAAGCCGCTAGCGTTCAATATATTTCTCAAGTATATTATATACTAGTATTTCATTGGGTTTGAGAACTGAAAGTGACAATCCACTCTGAAAATTTCGTTCCCAGAAGGCAGTAATGACCCGACAAAAAGAAATCAAACCAGTCTAGTCGCGGAAACAGGTGTATCCGGTCTGACTTTAAATGTAAATAGGCAGGATTATACGGGCGAAAGTTAGCTTAACGCTACTGCTGAAAACAAAGGGAGTCTAGGAAAAGGTCGCACTAGTACATTTGTGACTGGTTTTTCTTCTTGGCCGAGATGGGTAGATTAAGTACGAAGCTACGATACCTTTATATATACGTATACCATGTGTACGTACTTTCACTAAATGGAGTTTTGTTATTTTCTCAATGTTTCTCGAAGACCCGTAGCGATGGAGCCTGGTCTCGCTTATCGGCTCAAAATTCTGTGTTTCGTACAGTCCTGCCTCACCCTTGGTGATATAGCTGCCAAAGCGATTATTATAGCTTAATGTAATCGTTTATATAAAACGTGGTTTGTTTTTTGTTTCCCAAGTGAAAATGTGGCTTTAGCATATCCAAAACTATGGTAAAAACGGGCTGGTTATTTAGTTTTTTTTTTTTTATCATCCGACTCGATGAAATGTGAAAAACTCAAGTTCAGTCAAAGATAAATCCATTTAGCGTGAATTGCACTAAACTTTTGATCCGAACGCGTCTGTACGCTCGAAAAGTTAAAGTTTTCAATTTGTACTTCTTCGTTAAGAATAAAAGGGGTGGCCCATATAGCTTCACCACTTTCAAATAATAACTTATCATATCAGTTCGGTAATATTGTCAAGTACCTGTAAGCCTTTGTGCAACTGGGCTGGCCTTATTTGGATGAATTAAGTTTTCGTATTTTGAAAAGCGGTCGGTTATCATCTAAAATTACCGATCCTGTAATAGATTAAACTTAGGTGGGGCTTATTATGTATTCACGACGTCGTCTTTTGTAGATTGGTACCTGCAGAGCTTTAGAAGAGTACAATTTATTATCCTCGTTTATCTCTGTCTCTGCCAATGTACAAGTGTGCCTGAGGGCACCTCAGGGAAAATTTTCGATACAATTTTATTGCAGGTCCCTTCTTTAAAGCCAGGTGTTGGGGCACAATCGGCTCAGTTCTTGATTTAATCAGTTCTTGCAATGAAGTTGGCGTAAGGGATCATAACTCTGGTCTTCTGTCTTGAAACGAGGTCCTTTACCCCCGACACTCCCCGCACCATTAAAATCTCATCCACTACACCAATGCACTATTGTTTTCTATCTTCAAGGCAGCCAAACTATCTCACTCCTCGAACTCAGGAGAGTAAGAGCGTTAAAGAACCTCGAAAGTAGTGCCTGGTTTGGCGGGCCACAAAGTTACAGGAGAATTGGGCTGGGAAGCCTTGGTAGTTCCGAAAGCCGGTGCTGATGCTGATGATGCTTCCCTGTCCGTGACAAAGTGGCACGAAGGCAGTAAGGTAAACCTGAAAATCACTCTTCTTCAAAGGCAAAGCGACGACCGCAGCAAAAGGCTTTACAAGGTCGAATAACCACGAAATTCAAGGGTACACCGAGAGACGGCTGGCTCAAAGCTGGAGACATGTCTCATTTCTTCATATACAACACGTTTGTATCTCTACCTTGTACTGCACGCTAGATGAAAGGATTACCACAAGATGAGAATCTATTGCTTCCTCAAACGGGATTAGCAACAAAACGTGGATTCCTTATTAGGCGCTTGCTACAAGAGTTTCTACGCCCTGTAATTTGAATGAACAAAAGCCGTAGCTTTTTTCTAAAATAAAAAAAATTCGTTTATCTTTTTTTCTTCAAACGTAAATCTTTAGCATAAAATTTAACATTTAAATAAAAGAACATAAATCCAAGATTTAATATTAGCGCTTGAAATATCACCCCACCTGGATCCTACAGATCACACTGTCCTATTAACAATGGTTACATGAAAATGTAAAATTTTCGTTCTATAATATCAGGATATTTGCATTTAATGCAATGACCTCTGAGAGTGTATAGTTTTAGGTAAATACAACAACTAGTATCCTTACTTGTCCTAATTACCATGTGGGTAAGGTAATGTAGGAGCAGAAAGCCAAATCAGCTACGTTGGGATTACTGGCAACAAGACTGTAAGTAAACAGACATCTAGACACGACAGCGTTGCATGCACGCCGACTATAACAAGGTTCATCTTTAGTTTTGTTCACGCATATGATTGCAGCGTTGTGTGCGCGCTAGTCCTATATAGACTCGCTTATCTATATGTATATAAGCGAGTTGACACTTACAATTGTTGTTTTGTGTATTGTTGAAAACATTTTTTAGTAATAGTAAACCTTCCTGCAAGAAAGCAGGAACTACCTGACCTCAATTTATCACTTCTGAGAGTTCAACGGCGCTGTTCATTAACCCATATGAAGCAGAGACGTGTAAGCCAATGTCACACACAATAGAAGCGTTGTACTTGTGTGAAACACATTAACTGTTACGTAAAAAGCTAATCCAGATCAGCTTATATGGTGGCAAATGGTGCTTCTGCAGTTTGTATGTATATACATATGTATATATAACCCATCGGTTCTTATACTCGAACTATGATTGCAAGCCAATTCTATGTGTTTCTTCAGCGACTCGTCCTCTCTGCACATTTCCAACATGGATTAATATTTAAGAGCGCTATAAAGATCGTTACGAACGAGAGCATCCAGCAGGCGAAAGGTGTAGCGATCTTTGGCGTGGGTTATGACGTATACTTCTGCCCTTTGGGAACACGTTGTTCTGCAGCCTGCATCTCGACCTACTGTGCCGCCTGAACAGGGGCAGGGGACAGGAGGAGGCTAGCATGAGCAGACACCGTATAAAGTAGACATGCTAACGTCACATTTTTTCAGCCATAAATTAAGCATGCGATCTGCCGGTGTGTTTTTCGCCTAACTTAATTTCGCAGAGCAATTTTAGCCCACTAACTAGGTCCTTCGGGAAAAAAGGAAGCGCTCACATCACCGAATTTTGATTATATCAGTAGGATTAATGGAACCGCGTCAGGAAGTGATATTATACAAAATAGAGCTGCTAACGTACCGATAAAGAGATGCTATATTCATTTCCAACTGTCACACATGTGTACTTATATACAGAGCATATTTGAATTCGTATCATTGCACCTATTAACCGTTGTGTCTCGATGTGCTGTCGTTCTGCCTTCTAGCTGATTTGTACTGATGGCTACGATAACGTCAACGTAAGCAACGGGTGAGTGTCTATCTACTGATATTAGATGAATTCCTATATTCTCTCTCGTCCCAGATGTCCTACTTTTATCACATTTAGTTCGTGTAGAAGTAAAGACTAATTAGGACTGATTCGACGTAATGGTTATAGGTATCTACAAAATGTGTAAGAAACAAACATATAAGGCGTATGAGTAATAACGAGTATACTTATTGCTATTGTCTTTAACCTCGTTCTCACCCTAGGAGAGCCGTAATCGCATACGGATTCAGACATCTTTCTTACAAACGGTCTTACATGACAGGTGTGATTCCTATGTAGCGCTCGAATAAAGTACAAAACGTCTCTAGTGATTTTTTCTTAGAGAAATACTGGTGAGGCCTTGCTTAGTATATGTGTAAAAAGCCTTCATCTATCGCTGCTAAACGTTTCGTCTCGTAGATGGAATAAAATCGAAAGTCAGGCTGGTTTAAAAAGCTGCCTATGCCGCATGCTTAACGTAGTCGTACAGAACTGCTGTAAAAAATTCAATAAATGCAGCTGATTAAGACATTTTAACACGATTGCGATATATTTTAATATAAACTTATTTATATTAAACCCAGTTGTCACTTGAACTTTTGGGCAAATCAGTAAGAAAAGATGATCATGCCATTATTCAGAGGAAGAGCGTATTAAATGAAAACGGTACACTTCTAGCTAGCAAGTTCAACGAGTAGGTGGAAACCAGTCTCGTGTTTGACGAATAGTTGATTATTTTTTTAACAAGTGTTTTGTACGACAGCTCTACCATAGTGCATCAAGCACTCTATCAGTTCTTTCTTCTTCTAACCCATAATGAATATCTATATTGAATTATAGCACCTTTCAAGGACGGAACAATCGAAAGGCTGTTACCTCTGAAAATGTTTGTTTTTATCTAAAGCCTTCTGAGGGCTTTTCAACATGTCGATTGCAGTAAACAGAACAGTAGAGACGTGCCACTGTAACAGTGTTGCAAGCGGCTCTGAGGGCAAATTCGAACAATGCTTGTTTTTGTATTGTTTGTTCGACGAGGTGCGAATAGAACGTGGTGAGTTTTCGTGAATTCGTAACTTCACTAAAGAACTGGGATCTAGCAGACGATGACGGAATAAAAATGACATACGCTCCAACGCATAGCGTCTCCGGCGACGTGATCGGCTGTTACCCTTTCCTTGCCAGTCGTTTTAGCGAACAAGCATTGATTCGTAGGACGTGTGAAACGCATTGTCACGCACGTTCAGATGGTAAAATAGAAATATAAACATTGTTGCGCGCATCCCGTCACTCTGCTGGGCTCAACACACGTTTGACGAAGTAAATCACTCGACTTCAGATCCCTTTACCCACTGCTTATGTGTGCCATTTTGTCGTGTGCATTTGTCGGCGCCGAGCCTCTGATTTATTCGATTATTGATTGTTTTAACTTTATTATATTCTATTGTTATTTGTTTATTGATAGAGTTTATTGGCAATCAAGATAATTTCGTTTCAGCCAACTATTGAATAGTCGTCGTAAATAATGTCTGCCTGTTCTATGCTCTTACTCATAGGCTCCGTCAAGTCTGGTCGAAAAACAGTACAGTACAGGAGCTGTCTAAATGAGTGCCACACGGAACCCTCAAAAAACAAAAAAAGTTGTGAGAACGAACGTAACGGATCATTAATTGAGCGTATGATCAGCACACTAAGCATCGCTGAATACTTGGCGCGTTATGGGAGGTTACAGGAAGAAACATCTGCTCCGCTGATAAACGGAAAGTCCACTTTGAAAAAAACTTCGAGAACTAACACCCGTCGAAACGGTTCTACCGTGAAAGCGTGGCGGGATGGATCGTAAAATCTCACTTTACCAAATTGAAGCTTGTCATGTGCACGTACAAACCTTAATCGATTCCGTCGTATCGCTAGATACGAACTTCGTTCTCATAGTTCTCACGCTTCCCCGAGGCGCAAGACAGTTTGTGATTTATGGTTAAGACGTGGATTCACGAAATACGGTCCTTTATCTCAGCTCATTCAACAGTACGTGGGTCGAGGAAGCATCTTGTGGCGAGCGTCAACATGAACGTCGTTACGAATATATATGCGCACATAGGTATGGCGAAGAAAATTCACGGTACGCACTGCTTGACCAAAGGGCGTTCCGATCAACTAAAAATCAAACTTGCAGTTTGTTTACCAACGCCAGCGTTCTCTTTGCGGTGCTGTCTCTTAGGCTTGTCGCTTCTATTGCAGTCACAGCTGTTACTTACGCGCCAGTGAATTAGCCAGGACGGCACATGTATAGCTATAAAGGATGTGGAGGGATTGCTTCCAAAGACGTTCTTGAGCCGCAGCTACAACGGCGATGCTGACGGGGATGATTCCACTTTTATGAATGCCACAGGAATTTATATCGCGCTTTCACTACTATTTACCTGGATTTGCCAAGTTAAGGTCCGCACGGAAGGACAGCGCGAGAGTAGAAATTCACGGTCCTGCAAAGACATTTCTGAAACTGCTGTTGTTGGTCCAGAAACAGTAGCAGTCACTTGGCGGTGATAAACTTTCTGTTTTCAATAGTATTTCTCTCAAAATCTCTAGCTACGCCGGAAACAGACAAATAGATGAACAAATATCTTGATGGAGTCTGGAGTGTCTGACAGCGACGCCGGACGTAGAACTCATGAACGGATCTCGTAAGTAAACTCAGTTGAAGAAACTAGGCCAGTTGCTAAGGCATGTCATCTCTATAATATAATAATATTCGTTATAGGTTTATTGGGTTTTTGATGTACTTTTACTGACAAACTGCAACTGCATAAATATGTTCCAGCTGCTAAATTCTAACAGATCTATGTTCAGGTCTTATTTTTAAGGGTTAGCCCTGGTTACATGGGATTTCAGGGTCTTCTTCAAAGGGCTCTAGCCCACGCGCAAGGCCAGGCTCATTAGCATAATTGGCTCGTATTATTCGATATTATATCATCGTCGCTTATTTAGGCCACCTCTGAGCAGTAGATCTTCTATCACAGGCTCTCTCAACTATTCCGAGCAGTAGGACGCGGTGAGCGTGCAATATGTCTCCTCATTGCTGTTCATATCCTTATCAGTAATAGTATTAGTAAAATTTAATCTCTTTTTGAGACCTCTGGCGATCTAAAAATTTCAAATAGTAGCTGGTGTTTTTCGTGCGCCGTTGCCTTACTTTTCAAAGAAAAATCTACGAACAGATTTAAAATCGCGTAGCGTCGTCTAGCTCTTCGCTCTCTTGTGCCAGCACGGTCAATAGAACAAAGAGCTTCCATTCTTATCTTACTTGCGATCTATCGGCCGCTCACACTCAGACCAAAAGTAGTCACATAAACACAACGATCTTCATGAACCGTGCATAGTTACAGATACTACATTTTACAGGTATGCAATATTGTCTATTTCAGTTACGTAACTTTAATCGGATTATATTATTCGATCATGTTGACTATATTATAGGGCATATATATTATAATTGTGAAGCTGTTTTGAGGTTTGATCGTAAGAAGCTTACCGATTTCAGCACTTTGAAAGACCTAGAAGATAAATAGGCCTTAGCTCCTTACAGTGCACAATATCTATAATCGGTATCGGTATATATCCTTTTTAAGGATATATACCGATGCCAATCGTACCTGTGTACTATTCCCGCACCTGCTAGACAGCATGCTATAACTTGAGGGGCGGTCGTCTTTGTACTTAGAAAATGTCTACTATACATTGTATGGTTATTGCATATTCATGTTAAGAGAAAAGCTAAATCCTAAAGAGGACACGGTTTATGAAACTATAACGGAAATCTTGAGTTCGTCCTTGTTTCCTTAATGCGTCGAAAATGATGAAGTTTTGTTGAAGCATTACTCATGACTGTTTTCTCCCGTCCTTTTATGTAATTCCTTTATGGAATATATCAGAAGCATTCGATTATAGAACGTCGACAAATTCTTTATTCAAAGAAGTCCGAAACATAATGTATACTGCAACAATTACAAAGTCCTAAATAATTCTAGGATCATCGTGTTGACTATTAAAAGCTTTTGACATCAGCTTTGGCCAGTGTCCTAAAACCGTCCTTTGTATCCTATTATTATCCCTAGTTGTTATAAATGTATGTATTTTAAGTGTTTGAGTGCTACCTTACTATACTAGACTGATTAAATAATTCGCTGTCAAAACTCCCTACTTCAAGGTCCTCTGACCAGCCGTTAATGTTTCAAGATTATTACATTGTAGAATTACATGAATCACCAATTCTTCCAGACACATTGTCTACTACATAGTTTACAAACAACCATTCGGTACAACCTAGGAGTTCCTTAACCACGCAGTTACAATTAAAGCTTAAATTCAGTATGTGCGCATGCGTATACCCGGGATTACATATTACAATTCATGGCATTGGAGGTAGACATTCAGTAAGCATGCCGCGCTGCTTATCAGATTTTAGTTAATCTGAGTTCCCAATCGTAATCTAAGCATAAACTATTGACCAGTTCTTATACGCCGAGCAATAGCTTTTTACCTATTACAATGACGACAATACTCGTGCGGCCTGCGGCATACTTATACACTTTTTCTGCTGTTTCAAATATTTGAAGCCATTGCATACTGGCTCTGAGACGTTTGTTAAGCCATTCGAAGACCCAGATTTAGTTTTGGGTTTGCCCCAAGCAGCCCAAGCCAGAAATTAGATACTCAAAAGATGATAAGCGCAAAACGAAAAAAAGAAGAAATTATTTCTTGAGTCTTCATCACTTCATTTTGCCTCGCCTTCACAGCCGTTTGCGCGTGCCCAAACCCAATCAACCTTCTGCTGTCTAAGTGAAGATGTAGAAAATCGACAAAACCTAAGGAAAATACGGGTATGGCCAGCGGCAGAAATTTGGGCAGGTGCGCGGCCGAACAGGTGAGCAGTCGTCCGGCAGGGAAAGTGACTAAAGGAACTCTGACGAACGTAAGAAAGTAAAGTAGAGGGGCCAGTTGTG